TTAAAAAAAAAAAAAAAAGGGTTTTAATAGACTATTTAAGTAATACTTTTAATACTTTTCAGACAGAAAATTGGCCAAAAATCTACTGGAGTGAGACAAAAGATCAGGTTTTTGTGGCATTGCTACAGGTTAGATCATAGGCTTAAACCTGACACAAAAAGATCAATTAGATTTTTTTAAATGTACCAAATCCTCATATAGTATATTACTATCATCTCTCATCTGAAGAACAGACAGCTCTAGACTAATTCTAACAGTTCAGGGTCAAATGCATCCAATGAAAGTCTTAACTATGCAATCTAACAGTCCTGAAAACCTGCTAACCTATATTTCTTGAGAGAACTGAGGAATGCCTATGTTATTAACGGCTCATGGTGAATCTTCCCACGCAAATTCATTTCAGCTAGTTCACTAACTTCTATAATTTCAGTGGTCTCATTATTTGGAGACAAGAGTTGAGGTGCCCTAAAAACTCTGATAAAAAGTCAAGTCGGATAATGGATAAACAACGGTATTTTCTCTCTGAATGACATTAACATTTTAAGTGAATTGTTTCATTTTTCTTAATTTTAAAATATTATAACAAAGTCTCGAAATATTTTCAATATTAGGACATACAACAAACAGGGCCAAACAGGAAAATTCCAACACAAATAATTAGCAAATAACAATTAAGTATTTTGGGGAAAGTCAACCCCATTTGCAATGTGCAAGGTTTTCTCCTGGAAAGTTAAACCCCAATACGGCTGAGTCTAGATTAGTATCAAGGCTATGTAACTTGGGGAGTGGCTCAGTGTATCAAAATAAAATGATTTCTAGAAAATGAAAATGCTAAAAAATTCATCTGAAACACAATTTCTTATGTCCTATTAAGAACCAGAATTTCTAATATAGTCTATTTCCTCTTCCCCCACACACATAATTTTTCAGGACTTACTTTTTACTTGCTTTTTGATGCTTTTTGTACCATCCAACCAATGCTGAAAAACAACAACAAAAATTTAGTTAAGCAGAGGACAGAACTTTAAAATTTTAATTACTAAAAGTTACTTCATTGTGCCGATACTGATAACCACAAGGAAATACTTCACAAGAAAAAAACTGAAGTGAATGAGAAAAGAGGTGAGAGGGTAGAGTATCTGCCCAATATCCACAGCAAGCTTCTGATGCACATGAACAAAAAAAAACTAAAACCTGATAGGTGACGTCTTTTTTATATATATACTTTAAGTTCTGGGATACATGTGTAGAACATGCAGGTTACATAGGGATACACGTGCCATGGTGGTTTGCTGCACCTATCAACCCGTCATCTACATTACGAATTTCTCCTAATAATATCCCTCCCCTAGCCCCTACATTCCCCAACAGTCCCCGGTGTGTGATGCTCCCCTCCCTGCGTCTATGTATATATATATATATATATATACATATATATGTGTGTGTGTGTGTGTGTGTGTGTTTTACTTAGGTAGCTACTTACCATGTGTTCTTATTGTTCAACTCTCACCTATGAGCGAGGCCATACAGTGTTTGGTTTTCTGTTACTGTATGAATTTGCTGAGAATGATGGTTTCCAACTTAATCTATGTCCCTGCAAAGGACATGAATTCATCCTTTTTTATGGCTACATAGTATTCCATGGTGTGTATGTGCCACATTTTCTTTACCCAGTCTATCATTGATGGGCATTTGGGTTGGTTCCAAGTCTTTGCCATTGTGAAAAGTACTGCAATAAATATATGTATGCATGATTCTTTATAGTAAAATGATTTATGATCCTTTGGGTATATACCCAGTAATGGGATTGCTGGGTCAAATGGTGTATGTTTCTAGAACCTTGAAGAATCACCACACTGTCTTCCACAATGGTTGAACTAATTTACATTCCCATTAACAATGTAAAAGAGTTCCTATTTCTCCACATCCTTTCCAGCATCTGTTGTTTCCTGCTTTTTAATGATCGCCATTCTAACTGGCATGGGATAGCATCTCATTATGGTTTTCATTTGCATTTCTCTAATAAACAGTGATGATGAACTTTTTTCCATATGGTTGTCTGCCACATAAATTCATCTTTTGAAAAGTGTCTGTTCATATCCTTTGCCTACTTTTTGATGAGGTTGTTTTTTTCTCATAAATTTAAGTTCCTTGTAGATTCTGGATATTAGCCCTTTATCAGATGCATAGATTGCAAAAATTTTCTCCCGTTCTGTTGGTTGCAGGTTCACTGTGATGATAGTTTCTTTTGCTGTCCAGAAGCTCTTTAGTTTAATTAGATCAGATGGTTGTAGATGTGTGGTGTTATTTCTGAGGCCTCTGTTCCGTTCCATTGGCTATATAGGCTCTTTTTTGGTTCCATATGAAATTTCAAGTAGTTTTTTCTAATTCTGTAAAGAAAGTCAAGGGTACATTGAAGGGGATAACACTGAATATAAATTACATTGGGCAGTATGGCCATTTTCACAATATTGATTCTTCCTATCCATGAGCATGGAATGTTTTTCCATTTGTTTGTGTCCTTTCTTATTTCTTTGAGCAGTGGTTTGTAGCTATCCTTGAAGAGGTCTTTCACATCCCTGTGAGTTGTATTTCTGGGTATTTTATTTTCTTTGTAGCAATTTTTTTTTTTCACATGAAAGTTTTTAGTTTATTAAGCTTCTCGTGAAAAATCCACAACGGCCATAGATAACATCATTGCAGCACCTTTACTCCTTTGGCTGTGATCCAATGTCCAGCTCACTTTTTGCCAGCGCCAACATTGGCCTTTGCAGTCCCCCTGACTTTCTTCAGTCTGTTCTTGCGTTCCTTTCGTTGCTTTCTTGAGGTCTTTTTCTTCTCATACAGGCCATGTCTTGCAAGTCTATGTTTGGGTTCATTTTTCTTTGCATAATCCAGGGAATCATAAATCATGCCAAAGCCAGTTGTCTTGCCACCACCAAAATGAGTTCTGAATCCAAATACAAAGATGACATCCGGTGTGGTCTTGTACATTTTGGCTAGTTTTTCCCGAATTTCTGTCTTAGGCACTGTTGCCTTCCCGGGATGAAGGACATCAATGACCATTTGTTTCCTCTGAAGCAGTCGGTTGGTCATGAACTTTCTAGTGCGGATAGTTACTGTGTCGTTCATGATGGCGGCCTATCCTTACACAGCCGGGGAGGAAAAAAAAAGCCTTTGTAGCAACTGTGAATGGGAGTTCATTCATGAGTTGGCTCTCTGTCTGTTATTAGTGTATAGAAATGCTTGTGATTTTTGCACACTAATTTTCTATCCTGAGACTTTGCTGAAGTTGCTTATCAGCCTAAGGAGATTTTTGGACTTAGCCGATGCGGTTTTCTAAATATACAATTATGTCATATGCAAACAGAGACAATTTTACTTATTCTCTTTCTATTATACCCTTTATTTCTTTCTCTTGCCTGATTGCCCTGGCCAGAACTTCCAATACTATGTTGAATAGGAGTGGTGAGAGAGGGCATCCTTGTCTTGTGCCAGTTTTCAAAGGGAATGCTTCCAGCTTTTGCCCATTCAGTATGATATTGGCTGTGGGTTTGTCATAAATAGCTCTTATTATTTTGAGATATGTTCCATCAATACCTAGTTTATTGAGAGTTTTAATGTAAAGGGGTACTGAATTTTATCAAAGGTCTTTTCTGCATCTATTGAGAAAATAATGTGGCATTTGTCATTGGTTCTGTTTGTGATGGATTACATTTGTTAACTTGCGTATGTTGAACCAGTCTTGCATCCCAGGGATGAAGCTGACTTGATCATGGTGGATGAGCTTTTTGATGTGCTGCTGGATTTGGTTTGCCAGTATTTTACTGAGGATTTTCACACTATGTTCATCAGGGATATTGACCTGCAATTTTGTTGTTGTTGTGTCTCTGCCAGCTTTTGGTACCAGGATGATGCTGGCCTCAGAAAATGAGTTAGGGAGGAGTCCTTCTTTTTCTATTATTTGGAATTGCTTCAGAAGGAACGGTACCAGCTCCTCTTTGTACCTCTGGTAGAATTTGGCCGTGAATCTGACTGGTCCTGGGCTTTTTTTGATTAGTAGGCTATTAATTACTACTCAGTTTCATAACTTGTTATTGGTCTATTCAGGAACTTGACTTATTCCTGGTTTAGTCTTGGGAGGGTGTATGTGTCCAGGAATTTATCCATTTCTTCTAAATTATCTAGTTTATTTGCATAGAGGTGTTTATAGTATTCTCTGATGATTCATTTGTATTTCCGTGAGATCAGTGGCGATTTCTGTTCTTTTGCATTTTCTGAGGAGTGTTTTACTTCCAATTACGTGGTCAATTTGAGAATAAGTGTGATGTGGTGCTGAGAAGACTGTATATTCTGTTGACTTGGGGGTGGACAGTTCTGTAGATGTCTATTAGGTCTGCTTGGTCCAGAGCTGACTTGAAGTCCTGAATATCCTTGTTAATTTTCTGTCTCATTGATCTAACACTGACAGTGGAGTGTTAAATCTCCCACTATTATTGTATGGGAGTCTAAGTGTCTCCTTAGGTCTCTAAGAACTTGCTTTATTAATCTGGGTGCTCCTGTATTGGATGTATGTATATTTAGAACAGTTAGCTCTTCTTGTTGCATTGATCCCTGTACCACTGTGTGATGCTCTTCTTTGTCTTTTTTTGATCTTTGTTGGTTTATTGTTGCATTGATCCCTGTACCACTGACCACTGTGTAATGCCCTTCTTTGTCTTTTTTTTATCTTTGTTGGTTTAAAGTCTAGTTTAACAGAGACTGGGATTACAACTCCTGCTTTTTTTTTTTTTTTTTTTTTTTTTTTTTT